GGCCCCAGGTGCCTGCACGTGTGGGACCCAGGGGTGTGTGTCCGTGTGGGTCCCGGGTGTGTGCATGTGTGTGTCTGTGTGTGCCCTGGGTGTGTGTATGTGTGTAGGGGGAGGGCCCGGGTGTGTGTGTGGCCCTGGGTGCCTGCATGTGTGGGCCCTGGGTGCGTGCGTCTTTGTGGGCCCTGGGTGTGTGTGTCTGTGTGGGCCCCGGGTGTGTCTGTGTGGGCCCAGGTATGTGTATCTGTGTGGGCCCCGAGTGTGTCTGTGTGGCCCCGGGTGCCTGCGTGTGTGGGCCCCAGGTGTGTGTGTCTGTGCACGTCAGGGTTGTGGCCTGCATCACCCCTAGGACAGAGCTTCAAGTGTGTCACTTCAGGCCTCATTTGGGCCTGGAGTGGAGTTGGGAGGAGCTGAGGCTGGAGGAGCAAGGGGGTGTGGGGGTGGGGGATCCTCGATGGCCAAGGCCCTCACCGGGCCGGGCTTCGGATGGCACTCCCCAGGGCTCCACTGGCACACTCTGATTCAGGTGCCGCTGCCGGCTTCATGGAGGCCGAAGTGCAGACTGCTGCGAGCCGGGCAGGCCCAGGAGGGTGGGAGGATGGGGGTGGCCCCGGGAGGTGGCAGCGAGGCAGCCCACACTGAACAGGACTGGGACAGGTGGGGCCCTGAGGTTACCCAGCGAGGGCAGAGGCCAGCAAGGCTGAGCCAGGAGTCCTGGCGATGACGCTGAACCTCCGGAAACCTCGGTTTGTGTTGGAGTGGGACCCTCCGCTGTGCCGTCTGGTAACCCCGAACCAGCTCCTTCGCTTTTCTGGATTCTGCCTCCCCCACCTTCATTCAACTGGCTCATGACGTTGACTGAGCATCCCTGCTGGGCGGGGCCCTCTGGGGCTCAGGGACATGGAGGACACTCAGCCATGGGGATAGCAGCCACCCACAGCAGGGGCTCTGAACTGGATCAGGGGGACACCAGCACAACTTGGGAGGCAGGGGAGGCTGCCTGGAGGAGGCGGTGCAGGGAAGAGCAGTCCAGGCGCAGGAGCAGTATGTTGCTGGTGGAGAGCACAGAGCACCGCCGTCAGGCATGGCTGAGGGGAAAGGGGGCCCAGGTTGGCATGGGTGGGGTTGCAGGGCAACCGGGCAGGCTCAGGGGATGCCGAGCACCCGGTGACAGGGGCAGGAGGGGCTGCCTGGGGCTTTAGGTGACAGGGCAGCATGCCAAGGTCAGCAAACTTGGGGTGGGGTCCAGGAAGTCATCAGCTTCAAGGTGGGGGATGCCAGCTTCAGGGTGGGGGGTGCCCTAAGCACCCCCTCCTCCCCAGGCCTCACTTTCCTGACTGGCCGGTCACCTCCGCCTCCTTTCGAGGGCCTGCAGAGGGACTGCAGGCTGATTCTCCTGAATTCCCCGAGCCATCTTGAAGCTCTATGTGCAGGGGCCTTTGTTCACGCCCCCACACGCGTACCTCCGCCTGCTCTGTGCCCGTGAGCCCCGGGACAGCAGTTCAGCCTGGCTCACTACTTGGGTGATGAGCTGTGCCATGGCTCAGGGCGAACTCATCCATAGAGAAGTGATGCCAGCCTGAGTCCCCTCCGCAGCCGTGCACGCCCCTTCAGCCACCTGACTTCCGGTCAGTCCTCAGGCCTGGCGTGCCGGGGCTGCGTGGGGCACAGGGTCAGGAAGCGGGAGTCTGTCGCTGGACCAGGTCCTTTTGAGGAGGGGATGAGCCGAGTGCAGTGGTCAGAGGCACAGCTGTGTGAAGTGGGAAGGGTCTTCTGGGGGCACCACTAGGGAAGAGCCCTGAGGGGGACGAGGAGGCGTCGGGGGCTAGAGAGGGAGGCTGGCCAGGGACAGGGCCAGCCCGGTGGCCTTTGCAGAGCCGGGCGTGGCACTCGGACGATGCCCAGGGTAGAAGAGTCAGGGAGGAGTGGGGGCCCTCCCTAGGGAGGAGCAGTCACCTCAACTAAGTACCCCCCTGGTGGTGAGTAGGAAGCACCCACTTTATCCAGGACACCCCAGATGACACCCAGCTACCACGCTCTCGGCCTCTGAGCAGGCAGAGGTGCCCTCCTGTGCACTGGTAAACCACTCCCCACCCCTCCCCTGCACCTGCAGAGGCCCTTGCAGGGGACAGGGCTAGAGGTGGGGTGGGTGACTGGTGCTAGGCTGGCGTCTGGGCCTAGAGGCTTTAGGGGACTGAGGGGCTGTGGAGGTGACACAGAGGCACCTGCAGTGCTGAGGAGGAGGCGGGCTTTGGTGCAAGGAAACTGGCGGGGATGTGTCGGAGCTGTGGAGGACGGGTGGGCTTGGGGTGTCCGCCTGGCTGGATGGCATCTCGGATGGGGGTGGGCTGGAGCCAAAGCTGCTGCTCTCCCCCGGGTGTCTCAAAGCCTGGGCCCGAGATGACAGTGCGAGCCGGTGGGCCTGAACCTCCCTGGCCCCATCTGCAGTGTGGGGCTGGCGCCTGCCTGGAATTGGTGGGGGTTCGTGGCATGATGGCAGCAAAGTTTCATCTGCCCTCGGGCTTGGCGCGTGACTGGGGCACGGGCGAAGGGCCCATCCTCACAGGGCGCTACCCTAAAAGGGAGTTCTGGAGGGCCTGGGCTGGGGGCCTCTGCAGGGAGCGGGCGGGAGAGGTGGAGGAGGGGCTGGGCTGGACGCTGTGGGTGTGACGGGGGGCTGAGGCCTCTTGGGCCTCAGTCTTCGGGTCTGCAGAGTGGGCGTGCGGGGCGCATCACTCCCCGAGGTCTCTCCCCGGTTTTCACAGAACATGGAAAAGGCAACCCTGCCGTCCGTGACGCTCATCGTGGGCTGTGGCGTGTCCTCACTCACCCTGCTCATGCTGGTCATCATCTACGTGTCTGTGTGGAGGTGGGTGCCCCCCAGGTGCTGGGCATGGGCAGCCTTGGCACCTGTATCCCACACCTCTTCCCCTTGAGGTCACGGGAGGGGTCTGGGTGCCCTTCCCTCCCTTTGTTCTCACCTCCCCAGTCACCTCTGCCTCTGCCACAGAGCCAGCTGGGCTGTGGCCCCTCCAAGGGTGCCCCACATACTCAGCCGTGTCCATGCTGCACAGATGCAGGGGCGGGGCCAGGTGCTGCTGTCCTCCCTGAACATGTTCCCTGGCGATGCCAGCCTGCGTTCCCTCCCCCTCTGCCTGCACTCCCTCACTGCCCTGTCTGTCCTCAGACCAGCAGGCCGGGCCACAGCCTTCCCCAGAGCCCCAGGCAGGCCTCAGGGCCCAAAGCCTCTGCTCACTCCCCACCTAAACTCCCTTTCCCAGGGCCACAGAGCTCAGCTGCTGTCCGTTCTGAGTGTGCTGGGCAGGTGTTTGGGGCCACCCTGTGGCCTGGGCAGGTGTGGAGAGATGTGGAGGAGAGCTTGCATTTGAGCAGTACCAAGCCTGGGTAGGGGCTGGGCACAGGCCCAGCGGCCGCTGGTGCCTGTGAGTGTGTAGATGCGCCTCCAGGCACTTGTCCCATCTCCCTGATTCCTGCTCCTGTCTCACTAAGCACAAGTGTGGGACAGGGAGCAAGAACTCAAGGTCACTGCCCGTGGGGCCGAGCGGGGACTCCCAACGTGTCCAGAGGACACACGGTCCAGCTCCCCAGGCAGCACGATGTCAGCCGATAATCGGAACTGACTGCTTGGCTGCTGCCCAAGGTCGGGCACCCAGAGGTCGATGTGGCTGGTGGGGAGGGTGGCCGAGCTTTCCCGCAGACAGTGACCGGGTCGTGGTCCTGCCCGAGGGCACAGCATCCACTGGGCTCTAGGGGAACCATGGTGTTTCCTCTCTCCTGGGCCTGCCTTTCCCCGGGGCCTCAATTTCACAAAACATCTGGGGATTGGGGTTCAGGGGCTCTGAACTCAGCTCTGATGTGCTGAGTTCTGAGGAGGTTTTCTGCCTACAATTTTCAAAGCATCCCCCTTGGTGAGCTCTCCTGGCCATCCCTGTGCCCCGGGAGCTGCCAGCAGGGACAGTTCTACCGTCCCCGACGAGGAAGTGGGAGCCCAGAGAGAGAACGTGACCTTCCCAAGGTCATGCAGCACATCAGGGCCATGTCAGAGCTCCTGAGGCTCAGCCCTGTGCCCTCTGCTCTCCACCTGGGTGGACCTCTGTCCCTAAGGGCTGCTCGTGGTGCTGGAGGTGGTGGTGGTGGTGATGGTGATGGTGCTGGTGATTGTGTTGATGATGATGGGGATGGTAATTGTGGTGGTGGTGATGGTGTTAGTGGTGGTTTGTGATGATAATGGCATGGTGATGGTGCTGGTGGTTGTGTTGATAGTGATGGTGGTGGTGGTGATAGTGTTGGTGGTGTTTGTGGTGATGGTGGTAATGGTGATGGTGCTGGTGATTGTGTTGATGGTGATGGTTGTGGTGGTGGTGTTTGTGGTGATGGTGGTAATGGTGATGGTGCTGGTGATTGTGTTGA